GAAAAAAGAAAAAAAAATAAGTACTGCTTCCTGCAGTTCATTGAAAATCCACTAGAGGGCAGAATACAAGTCTCACATGATATACAACAGGTTTTTGAGGAAAAATATTGATCACATTGATAAAATATAGGTCATAGAATCCTGCGTAGCAAATATGATACAAATGGCGCTATAGGGATAGGCGGAGGTTATTTGGGGGGGAGGTGGAGTTAGACAAAACTGTGATTGGTTGGAGTGACTTGTCTTGTGGGGGAAGTAAAAAGCTGAAGTAATGTTATAGTAAAAGTATTTTGGACATGTAAATAATAATTTATTGACTCCAAATTTCATACAACTAGCACCTTCCTCTCTGAAGTTATGACTAAAATTATATTGACATTAAAATATAGGTGCTTTTTTTCTCTTTTGGCCCAGCTAAACTCCTCCCATAAAACAAGAAACTTCCACTTATTTCTTGTCCCAGTGTTACAATGCTTCTTCTGTTGTTTGGCTCAGAAGGATTTATCGTAAAAAGTAAAGCTGGGAATCCATCAGAAATAACAAAACGTGATCATAATCCCTGTCTGTTTGCCAGGACAGGTGAAAGGTTCACCTTTCATCCAGCCTGTGTAACGGGATATGGTTTAAAAAACAAAATAAGTTTGAACTGATTTATCTCAACAAGGATCATGAACAAAAATATTTGACACAATAAATCTGAACGAATGCTCTTCTCTATTCTATAATGTGATGTTAATACTACACGGAACTAGTGTAAAAGACTCCTGATATGAACCTGTTTAGTTGGAGCAGAAGTAACAGACTTTGTGGACGTGTGTTCATTACTGTTGTAACTCTGTTTGCACTGCAGGGAATGGGACAGAGAGGTGGTGTCAGCCAAGAGGCCCAAACTCTTAAAAGCACTGGCCAGATGCTTCTTTGGCCCCTTCGCCTTCTTTGGTGTCCTCCTCTACTTTGGGGTGAGTCTGCTTCTCGGTTCATACACAAGGATGGAAAAACTATTTGTTTTGTAAAATCTGCAGAAAGTCTTCTATACATTTATTCATCAACACACGCTGTCAAATAATGTGTCCGTGTTTGTGGGCATTTGGCTGCATAGTGAGAAAATATTTCACTAAATGGATTCTAATGAATAACTGAACAAAGTAATTATTATCTGTAACTATATAACTCCTTTATTCTGCTGGGAGAAACAGCCTTTCTGGTCTGAAGCCAAGTGGTGTATTGTAGTTGGACTTTTGTGCTAGTCACAGTTTTTCCATCCCAAACACCATGTTTGAGCATACAGTAAGGGTGTCCATGCGCACGTGGCACCAGAACACCCTAGATCGTAGATTGATGATTAACTTCATGTTTTCTGATCTGTGGCCGTGTGTTTTGGACACTCGGTGAAGAGAGGAGCTGAGCTGATCACCACCTGGTAGTGAGTTGGATCAGATGGCGGTGGAAGATGCCGGACAAACCCGGTAGACCCATGCATGTAGTGATGGTTTGCTGGAAGTGTCTGGCAGAAGAACACATCAGAAAATCTTCAACTCACACCTCTGAGAGAACTTTAATCACATCCCAGCCGAGTCGGGGGACATTGAGTCTGAGTGGACCATGTTCCACACCTCCTTTGTTGAGGCAGCTGCCTTAAGCTGTGGCCACAAGGTTGTCGGGGCTCCTCATGGTGGCCATCCTTGAACTTGGTGCAGACACCCTGGATTAGCGAGGATGTCAAACTGAGGAGGGAGTCTAAGGCTTGTTGGCTGGTATAACTAAGGAGTATTGCCAACTGGGCCACAACCATGGCTGTTGCTAAGGATAAAGCTTGGATGTGGGTAGAGTTCGTTGAGGCTTTGGTTCTTGAATGGTTCAAAGGAGATTCTGGCAAACAATCAGGCAACTGAGGTGGGGAAAGCAGCGCTTCACTAACACTGTGCTCAGTGAAGGTGGGGTGCTGTTGACCTCAACCAGTAATATCGTCGGGCGGTGGAAGGAATACTTCTCAGACCTTCTCAATACCACCTGTCTTCCATGGAGGAAGCTGAGTCTGAGGACTTTGGAGTTGGCAACTCCAACTTGAGCTTATGTTGTTAAAAGCTCCACAGCGGCAGGGGTCCAGGGTTGGATGAAATCCACCCTGATTTCCTCAAGGCTCTGGACGTTGTGTGGCTGTCTTGGTTGACAACACAACACTCTGTGGACATCATGGGCAGTGCCACTGGATTTGCAGACTTACGAGGCCATCATTCTCCTTAGCCTCCCCAGTAAGGTCTATTCAGGGTGTTGGAGAAGTGAGGAACAATGCTGGTTCCATCCTGGCCGTGGAACACTGGATCAGGTCAGACCAGAGGAGTCATGGGAGTTTGGCCATCCAGTCTACGTGTGTTTTGTGGACTTGGAGAAGGCATTTGACCATGCTCTTCAAGGTACACTGTAGGGGGTATCCTGTGAGTATGCGATTGTGGGTCCACTGCTATGGGCATTCAGTCCTACAAGCAGTGCAAGAGTTTGATTCTCATTGCCAGTTGTAAATTGAACCCCTTAAGAGTGGGAGTTGGACTCCACCAGGGCTGCCCATTGTCACAGAATCTGTTCATAACTTTTATGAACAGAATTTCTTGGTGCAACCATGGGTCAGAGGGAGTCTGGTTTGGTGGCCTCAGGATTCCATCTCTGCTGTTTGCAGATGTGGTCCTGTTGGCTTCATCATGTTGTGATCTTCAGCTCACACTGGAGCGGTTCACAGTCAAGTCTGTAGCAGCTGGGATGAGGATCAGCACCTCCAACTCTGAGTTCATGGTCCTCAGTTGGAAAAAGGGTGGATTGCTCTCTCGTTGGGGTTGAGATTCTGCCTTAGGTGGAGGAGTTTAAGTAGTTTGGGGTTTTGTTCACAAGTGAGGGAAGAATGGAGCGTGAGATTGACAGATGGTTTTGTTCAGCTTATGCAGTGTGAACACTGTACCGGTCTGTTGTGGTGAAGAGGGAGCTAAGCTGGCAGGAGTTCATCTGGTAAAGATGCTTCCTGGACATTTGAAAGTCAGGTGCAAACTGTCTGTGCAGCTTCAGCCATGCTATCCATTTTGCATTGCAAATATCCCACTTTAATATAAACAAAAAAGTACATAACTACAGCACAGCAGCTTAAAAAGGTAACTACAATGGCAGTTTTTGCAAGGAGGGTCGGGGACAGAGAGGAGGAGACTTTCTTTATTTACAGTGTAAGGGACACTTACACCCCTTATAACGAAAGTTAATAACACACAATAAGTGACGTATCTCAGTGAATTCGATTTGATCAGCAACAAACAAGATAATTTATTTACATAAATCAAACAAATCATGAGTGAACAACTTAATTGTGGCAATCAATTTTCCTATAAAAGTTTAAGAATCAACAACAAAATAAGCATGCGTCCAAGCTTATTATTGTTAACACGACAACTTCAGAAACAGCAAAACATCAGGCTTTAGATGTCAAACAAACCAGAACATTTGCAGGTACTTAAAGGGATCCACGATTAGTTGTAACATTAAACTTTATTTGATAAACATTTATTTTAACTGTAAAATAAAGACAGTAAAAATAATGTAGGCTGTTTAGTTTTGTAAATTTTTTAAAATATATTTTAACACAGATGGAGCCATTTTATTTACGAGCAAAGCATTCTGGGTAAATGATGACATCAACTAGGTCATCGGTGCTAGCGAGCTATATCCACCCTGAAGGTTAATCTTGGACAATATCTGACGATCGACTCTTTTAAATGAAACCAGAGAGCGTTGACAGAGAGGAGAAGGTAGAAATGACTCAGTCTGTAACTGAAAATATAGATGGAGGACAACAGAGCTGCTTTATGGAAGAAGAACCTCAGCTTAGCCTGTTAGCCTTCACGCTAGCCCTCACGCTATATTGCCTTATATGTATTAGCTCGGTGCTAGCATGACAAACAAGCTAAACTGAGGTCCTCCTCATTCAAATTTTCAGTTACAGCTGAGTCATTTTTGCGTTCCCCTCTCTGTTTTGTTGATGGAGGACCTCAGTGACGAGAGGAGAATGTGTAGTGTTGAGCTAATACATATATATGGTGATAGCGTCGGGGCTAAAGCTAAAGCTAACAGGTACCAATAGTACCAATGAAAAATTAGATAAAAATGAAAGTAAAAAGCAAGCTACTGTGCAGAAAGATACATAATTACAGGAAATAACTGTCATGACTGACTTGTGCAAAACGATTCAAACTTGGTCTGTGCAAATTGAGTCAAACTCAGGGGCTCCTCAGCTACTACCACATCAAATTAAACTTCAGTATCTGTAAACTGACTAATAACTGTGATTTTTGTGCTGCATAACATCAGTTGTCTGTGGTGCCAATCTAGAACTGGGTTGATTTTGTACACGGGCGTCTAGTGATCGGTTTCTGAAAGTTATTTTTTAAAATCTTTACTAGTTCTGCAGATATTTTGCAAACAGAGTTGATTCCATCCGTTGATGCAGCACACAGTATGCTTAGAGAATAACTCTCAGCTACTACCACACAGCTGTAAGACTGACTGTGTTTTTATGATCAGATGCTGTAGGGCTGTTTGTTTGTTTGTTTGTCTCTTTAGTGATAGTAACATTTATTTATCAGCCATTTTTAGAATGCTGCAGAGATGCTGTGAGGTTTTAATTTTACTGCCTGAATTTAAATATCTCAGTAAATAGACTGAGTCACAGATGCTGTTTCACAGCTATTTAAACTTGAGGTGAGTGTGTGTGTGTGTGTGTGTGTGTGTGTGTGTGTGTGTGTGTGTGTGT